TATATATATATATACATACATAACTTCTTATATAAATATTTAAATTTATTGCAAATTTTGTTATATTTACATTAGATATTATTCCTTAATGAGATATTAACGCGTGCACTTCGTGCACTGGAAATTCAAGTGTTACAGAGATCTAATTTCCTATATGTAGAAAGATTTCACTTTTGTCCTCGTATAGTGTTGATATAGTATAGTTATTCAGAACGACGTGCTAATTAATGTAGTCATTCCTGTTTTCCTTTCTAATGTCGATTAATTGTACATTATCGGTTCACAATCATGTCTACGGAAGTTACAATGTAAATTAAGTAGCTGATTTTGTTGGATGTTTTCTCAAAATGCAAATGATGAAAGGAAAGAATGCTGTTTCAATCACATTTTTCTATAATTGTACGTTCTTTCTTGATAGCATCCGTTTTTCTTCGATGATCGTCTAATCGCGCGCTTCCATTTCACGGTACGAAATTGCTTCAAATGCCCGCGCGCGAATTCTCACGAGAGCTGTTAACTCTTCACAACGGATATACACTCTCGGCTGCGCGATTCAATCTCTCATGACTAATTGCACGAATAATGCAACGCGTTTTCTGACCGGCCATCGTAAGCGCATCGCAAGTGAACACGCTTTTCAATCTCTTCGCCGTATCAAAGACACGCAACCTCACATCATCACGCACCGAGCCTATCAACAGGCTACGATGCAAGGCGGGACGTTGCCTCATCGGATTGCCGCTGCCGTTTTCAAGCCGATGATTTCAGTGGGCAATGGAGTCTCGTCACCTTCCTGAGCAAAATACTCAAATCACTGAGTAGCAACATAGGAGCGTTTTACGTTTTTCTCGTGCAAAACGAAAGGGTCTTATTTATGTAATTCGTATCATCCCTTACGTAACAAAAATGAACACAGGAAACTAGTCTTCGTTTAAGTGTTTACATTTCGCTTTTTCCTGCGATGGATGAAAAACATAGGCTCGGTTTAAATACACATCCGTTGCCAGTGATTGCGAAAGGTGTTGCAAAGTGGAATAAGTTTATATTTCCATAACATAACGGTGCAATAAAATCGTTTATTAAAAAGAGGAGTTAATTCTCGAACTTTAGTTTAACTCTAAATATCCCAATAAAGATTACATAACAGAGTATTACTCTGCCTCTTAAAAATTAATTTAATTGCAGAATTATTCTTCATTCTTAACACGCTTTACATTTTAGAATCTGCTGGTATATCTTAGGAATTTATCCGTTAAACAAAATTAATCCAGAATTTCACGAATTTTGCATATATGTCTACTTTCCACAGGCTGGAATTTCAACTGGATAACGATTATGATGAAAGCGGTACATACTTGAACCTTGCGTCGGGAGATGCAGAAAACTGCTTGAAGCCACTCCTGATTACACGCCCTTCCATCTCGTCACGTTTCACCGAGTACGCAGACAGAAATAAATGCAGAAATACATACTCGGTCTCGGTGGCAACCCGCCATTACAGTAATCCTGTCATTTACATTCATGTACGCAGCTGCTAGTGAATCCCGACCCGGAGCAGAGTGCAACATATCGAGCTGCTGTCTGTTAGTTTTCACAAAAAAAAAGTCGGGAATACAAGCGACGTAAAACGCTGGTAAGACGACGTAACGGAAGCGATAACGCAAGCAAGCGGCGGTCGCATCCTGCAGCGGTCGCGCAATCGTCTAGGAAGTCATCGGCTATGCAGACGCGCATGGTGTGTGCTAATCCGAAATGCAATGTTTGAGGGAAATAAACTTTAACAACATGACGAATTTCGCTGTTGCATAACAATCGTCGTCGTTTTTTATTCTTTTGTCTGCTGTTCATTCTCTTCCTTTCGTCAATAAAAATTTAACGCACTGTAAATTACGTTTACAAAACTTTTTTTTACGAATAAAATATATGGATTTCATTCTCCCGACAAGAAATTCTTATGGAAAATATATACAGATCATCTCTCTCTTTCTCTCCCCCTCCCCTCTCTCTCTCTCTCTCTCTCTCTCTCTCTCTCTCTCTCTCTCTCTCTCTCTCTCTCTCTCTCTTTCTTCTTTTAACTCTGACAAGAGTCAAAATTTATAAAGGAAACAAGAATAATTTTGCTTTTTTTTTTGCAAATATCTAAATTTAACAAGCAAAAACAACTTCATCGTAGTTTCATCATTCTATTAATTTATATTTGTATTCTTCTTTATTATCTATTTATTACAATCATAAAACGTTTGTAAGAAAGTTATTAAATCACTCTAATAAAGAATTTTTAGTATGATAATAAAAAAATAATCTTAAAATGTAAAAATTGTATAGATAATGAATGTATCTTACAAGAGTAATAAAATATTTATGTTTATGTTGATGCATAAGCCAATCCATAATTCATTTTTAATTTAAGATTAACTTAAGCAATATCTTAAGATATTAATATGTTTTATGATTGGTAAGACCAATCACAAAGCATATTAGATGATGATATTAAAGATAAGAACCAACTATGAATACTGAACTAAAATAACTTCTTTTCTCCAATTTCTTCAATTTCTTTCTTTCTCTCAACATTACCGATTTCACGGGTCAGTTCTTAAAATGTAGTGTTGAACGTTTTTTAAAACAATTTTAGTGTTACGTAAGAACCGCGCACGGATTGCGTGTGAAACTTAAATCTCGAGCGTCAGATGTACCCAGGCAGGTCTCGAAATCAGTGAAATCGCCTCGCATCTCGATGTAATCACCTTACATCAATGTGTTGTCTAATGGTAGCATAAGATGGATGCAACAAAATTGTAGAAACCGGTGCAACGCACACGCTTGGCAAAAGTGGACATTGCGGCGTGAGAGTGAAAATCATTGATATAAAAAAATATATATATACGATTTATACATATCATCAAACGCAAGTATGTGGATTATTCAGCCAAAATTTTTATTATTTTTTGACGAGCTATATTTCAGTATATTTACTATACTATATTTCAATACTATATTTCAGATATTTGGGACCTTCATGATTTTAAGTAATTTCAACTCGTAAAATTCGCTATCGATAAAAAATGTAAGCAACACGACAATTGTCGTAAATATTAAAATTCTAGTGTATCTATCGCATTATAATCTAAACTTGGCAAAATTAAAATGATTTTTATAAATTTAAAGAAATCTTTCTATTATATATGATATCTATAGTTGTACATATATAAATATAAAACTTCTATAATAAAATTTTCTAAACTATTTTTCCAAAGACACGAAAATAATCGTAAATTATTATGCAAAACCATTTAAAAATTCTGCATCACGTTCAAGAATTATTAAGGCATATCTGTAACACAAGGTTTTCGCTGAAAAATATTATGTATTTCTATTATGTATTTTCAAGGTGAGGAAAAAACGCACGTCATGTACCCATGTAATGTACGATATGATAAATCTTTGTCGAGTTAATGCTTCGAACGTGCTTTCGGCGATTTAAGGATGACATTCTATTCAGGAAATGATTTCGTATAAGAATGGCTTCTATAGTTGGCAGCTCTCAGATTTTATTCAGGTTATTAGGTTTTGCCAACGTGTTCAGATAGTTATTCTAAGCAAAAGAATTCATCAATGTCTATTTCGAATAATAAAAAGATTTATATATACTATAAATTTTCGATTTCAAATGCATTTACTGAAATAATGGATCACAGCATATTAGAGAACAATTTAAATAATATGTGAATGAGAGGATCTGTGAATGAGAGGACAACATTCTACTAAGGTCTGTGTAGTAATTGTAATGTTAATATGATTCTATTTCAATAAATTAAATGACTATTATATGATTATAAATTAGATAATTTTCATTATTGGGCTTTGTAAAATAAAATACTCATATTTTGGGAGCAAATTAACTTATGGTGTATATGAATTCTTTTGTTTAGAATGACATTCGGAATACATTGGCAAAACTTGTTTGTCCGTGACAAAATAAAAATCTTATACATAAATTTTATCCAAAGTTTAGCAGAGAAAAAAATAGGAAGGCACTGAATATTCTAAAACTTATAACGATACCGTTGTTCAGCAGCTTTTTTATTATTTATTATATCTGCATAACATAATATAATGATAATAACTCTTTAAGAGTTATAAGCTAGGCTTACTGGTTATTATTTTTAAGAATATTATTGCAGAGAAGCGTAAAAAATAGAAAAGTCATCTAATTCCAGAACATTCCTTTGGAAAAATTGCAAACTCTAAAGTGACCTAAGGGCAGAGTGGACAAAATTTCATATTTTTTAGATAAAGTCCACATCAGTGCAATGATACAAAGCGATATTTTTCGGCAAAATACAAATTGGTCTTTTTTATTAAAAGCAATAAAGTAAATAAAAATTTTATTATTCTGATTCAATATTCTAATATGACTATTCTAAGCATCAATGGAATGTTTTCCAATTCAAACTTTATAAAATAAAACCTTTATAAAAAAAATGGATTAGAAATCGATGTAATAATAAATTAATTAGTTTTTGTCACAGATATTGAATAGTAAACCAGATCTACATGAATACAAATTTTTTAATTTGTTGCTATTAGGTATAATT